GATGAATAGTAAGAACCTATAGCCAAAAATAATCTATCCAGCAAAGCTATCACTCAGAATCGAAGGCCAGATAAAGAGCTTCACTAATAAAAAAAAAAAAAGCTAAAGGAGTTCATCACCACCAAACCAGAATTATATGAATTGCTGAAGGGGGTTCTTTGGGAAGAGAAAGTAAATAAAGATAAAAATTTTGAACAACAAATACGTAACTATCAACAAGTGAATCTAAAAACCAAGGAAATTAAAAAAAAAAATCTGATGAACAATATTAACTGTTGAATATAATAGAATCAGAGGTATGGAAAGGGAGTGAACTGATGATTCTTTGGGAAAAGGGGAGAGGGGGATGTGGGAAGAGACTGAACATAACTGTGCACCTATGGATGAGGACAATGGGGAGTGGGGAAAGGGCAGAGGGTTGGGTGGGAACTTGGTGGAGGAGAGCAATGGAGGGGGGGGCGAAGAGGAACATTTGTAATAATATGAACAATAAAGATTTATTTAAAAAATAAAAGTGTGAGAGAAGCATTATCACAGAGTAAGCAACATATGTATTATATGTAATTATTCTATACCTTTGGTACGGAATATAAACCTGTACTGATGTTTAAATTACAGGTTTATACAGTGACCCTTGAACAGCACAAGTTTGACTTGGGGGTCCCCATGTTCAAGGGTCAACTGCATAAAGCTGTACTTTAACATTTTTTGTGATCACTACATGTATTTTGATCTAACTGTTCTAGGGAGAAACCAAGATGGCGGCATAGGTAAACACCTAAACTGCTGCCTCACACAACAGTTTCAAAACTACAACTAAAAGACAAAACGGACATCATCCAGAACCACAGCAAGGGTCGCTGAGTGGAAATTCTACAACTAAAAGGAAAGAGAAAAGCACACTGAGACTCAGAGGAGCTGCAGGAGTCAGAGGTACTGAGACGTGTACATGTGCGTGAGGACTAGCAACTGAGTATGCGGCTGGCTTTCTCAAGCAGGAAGAAGACAAAAGTTCCTGACTGCACTGAACTCCAGTTTTGGGCAAGACTCTGGGGACCAACTCATTCGGGGAGAAACTGGACTGTCTGGAAGCAACTGGAACACGAGGGCAGGTTTCTCTCAAAGGTGCTTGCGCGATTACCAAGGGACACTGAGACCCGGGGCCTATTAGGGCAGAGCCGTCAGGAAACCAATGGGACTTCATCCCATTCAAGCTAAGCACAGAGGCTTTTGCAAGTCTTTTCCCATAAGGATGTCTCCAGCACAGAACTACTTCCAGTGTAGACACAGCTGATTCTACCAGCCAATTGGCCCAGAGGTCAATTCTTCCCACTGATACCAACAATAATCAAGGTTTAACTACAAGACTGTGCACACAGACCACAAAGGGATGCACCAAGAGTGTGCACCTCAGGTAATTGGGGAGGCTGAGCCATTGGGCCCTATAGGATATCTAGCACACAAAGCCACTCTATCAACTCAGGGAAGCAGCCAAAATGTGGAGACAAACATCACAAATGAAAGAAATGAAGGAAAGCATATGACTGGATATAGAGTTCAAAACCATGGTTATATAAATTTAGCAAGACCCCTGAGGATATGAAAAAGGACCAACTATAAATTAAGTATACATTGACTGAAATAAAAAATAATATATGGAAATCCAACAGCAGACTAGAGGATCACAAGAATCAAGTCAAAGATTTGAAATACAAAGAAGCAAAAAAAAAAAAAAAAAAAAATACCCAAACGGAAAACCATAAAGAAAAAAGAATCCAAAAGTATGAGGATAGTGTAAGGAGCCTCTGGGACAACTTTCAAGTGTACCAACATCAGAATTATGGGGGTGCCAGAAGAAGAGAGGGAGAAAGATACTGAAAACCTATTTGAAGAAATAATGACAGAAAACTTCCCCCTCCTGGTGAAAGAAATAGACTTACAAGTTCAGGAAGCACACAGAACCCCAAACAAAAGGAATCCAAAGAGGACCACACCAAGACACATCATAATTAAAATGCCAAGGGCAAAAGACAAAGAATATTAAACCCAGCAAGAGAAAAATAGTTACCTACAAGGGAGCACCCATACAACTGTCAGAGGATTTCTCAACAGAAACTATGCAAGTTAGAAGGGTGTGGCAAGAAATCTACAACCAAGAACCTACAACCAAGATTACTCTACCCAGCAAAGCTATCATTCAGAATTGAAGGTTAGATAAAGAGCTTCACAGACAAGAAAAAGCTAAAGGAGTTCATCACCACCAAACCAGGATTACATGAAATGCTGAAGGGAATACTTTAAGAAGAGGAAAAAGAAGAAAAAAGTAAAGATAAAAACTATGAACAACAAAAAGACATCAAATACATACCTACCAAGTGAATCTAAAAAATCAAGTGAATAAAAATCCGATGAACAGAATAAACTGGTGAATATAATTGAATTGAATCAGGGGCATAGAAAGAGAGTGGACTGACAATTGTCAGGGGGAAAGGGCTGTGTGAGGTGCAGGAAGAGTGGACAAAAATTGTACACCTATGGATGAGTATGGGGGGGGGGGGTGTGTGTAAGGGCAGAGGGTGGGGTGAGAACCGGGTGGAGGGGAGCTATAGGGGGGAAAAGAGGAACAATTATAATAATCTGAACAATAAAGATTTATTTTTAAAAAACTGTTCTAGTTCTTTTAGTCCTTAAATTCATTTAGTTGGCATTTATTATGCCAGACTCACATATAAAGCAATGAAAATTTGGCAGTATATACTATTAAATTGATGGTGTGATTTTAAAATGCTATGAATAAAAATATATTCAGAATAATGTTTACAGGCATGTTTTAAACACCCTCCCTCTTCTTGGGTCTCAAGCTATACTATTAAGATGAAGTCTTTAAGTGTCAGCATATACAAATGTATATATTTATTGCATGATTCATGAGAATGAATTATAATTTTTAGAGCTATAGATAAAATATGAAGTCTCTGGGTTTCTATTCAACCAATGATTTGCAATCCTCATTGGTCTTTTTCCAGAGACTTTATACTCACTTGGAATTTAGGAAATAGCACTCATATGGGAGGTGGACAAAATGAAATGACTTATAGTGACTCTAATGCTGCCCCTCAACTAAGTCTGTAGAGTGTATTTCATCCAAAGCTTAGAGCAGCAGCCAAGCTAGAAAAAAGTGGGTCAGTAATCCCTTAAAACCCCTTGTATCTTTCTTCCTTTGCCCCAGGTTTCTTACTGTGCTCAGACCATTCCCCAAGGGCATACATATTAATAAAACTTACTGCTGAATAATTTAGGACATTTACATATTAATAAAACTTGCTGAATAATTTAGAACAGATACTTCTCTAAAATTGTGACCCAACGTGTCCTCAAAGACTAATCAGAAATGACCAGGCCCTTACTCTCAGCCCTACCCCTTAACCGTAACAGTTTCTTCCCTTCATCCTCCTCTTGTGCCCATTCTCCCTCTACTCCCACTCTCCCCCCTCCACCCCCCATGTAAATGGACAGGCAAATCTGCCCTCCTAACACATACCCATCTGGAGAAATGAGAGTGCTGGCTTCCTGGGTCCTCTTAGCATTGTTTCCTCTGATTACTTCGTTATTTTCCTCTCCCACTAACTCCAAGTCTTGTATCCCTAATTAGTCTTGTGGACCCAATACTTATTGATCTATTTATCTAGCAGCATGGCGATAATGTGTATCATTGTTAGTATAATTGATCTGCAAATTGTTGTAGAGACTCTATTTAAACTAGTTTCAAGTTAAATCTCTGCTTTTGCTACCCTAATCTATAAAATGTCAACATACCAAAGTGCTTATTAATATGTTAAAGTGTTATTAAATATACATGTGACTACAAAAGCATATCCAATTGGTAGACTTGAGAAAAGTTGAATGGCTCACCGAACACATGTATATACTTTTGGCATTTAATTATTTTAAGTGGTGTAACATCATTTGAGGTAAGTTCAGGGCTGAATTTTCCTATAGTCATCTGTTTATAACAACAACCAAGTTTATTCTTTCAATTTGAAGTATTCCTATGACCCAGGATATGGTCTATCTTGGTGAATGTCCCATATGTTCTTTAAAAGCATGTATTCTATTGTTAGATTATCAATTGAATCCAATTGATTGATCAGTGCTATTCATGTCTTCTCTATCCTTGCTGATTTTCTGTAAGCTAATTGTTACTGTGAAAGGAATGTTAAAGTTCCAGCTATCATCGTATATTGGTTTCTCTTTCAGTTGCTTCTGCTTTGTACAGGCATACCTCATTTTACTGCACTTCTCAAATAGTGCATTCTCATTACCGTCAAGGCAAGCCCCTCCGCCAGCAAAGGTTCGGCTGATAGCTTTTGTGTTTTTTTTAACAATAAAATATTTTTAAAGTAAGGTATGCTGGTTTTTGTTTTATTTGTCTGTGTTTTTTAGATATAGTGCTATTACATTATAAGTTACAGTATAATGTAAACACAACTTTTATGTACACTAGGAAACCAGAAATGTCATGTGACTTGCTTTATTGCGACTTTTGCTTTGTTGTAGAGGTCTGGAACTAACCTGCAATAGCTTAAGATATGACTGTATATTTTGAAGCTGTTGTTAAGTTATATCTTTTAAAATTATATCTTTTTGGTGAACTGCACGTTTTATAGCCACTCCTCCTGTCTTTTGAGTAGTGCTTATATGGTATATCTTTCATCTTTTTACTTTTAACCAACCTATATCATGTGAAGTGAGTTCTGTTTTGTTTTTTTCCTATCTTTTCACTGTTGTGTTTAGACCATTTTCATTTAATGTAATTATTTATTTGTTTGGATTTAGTCCTACCACATCTTATGACTTTTCTGTTTTCCCCCCTCTATTTTTTTGTTCCTGTTTCTTCTTTATTGCCTTCCTTTAGGTTATATGAGCATTTTGATTTATTAAGATTCTATTACCTCTCTGTATATATAGGTTTTTTCCAGTGGTGGCTCTAGAATGAATTCTTAAGTATCTAAGAGTGAGCTTTTTCTTTTTTCAAGAACTATGTTTTCACCTGTTGCCAGTTTCTCATATAAATACTGTAAATGCTCTTGTTTAGGTAGCTCAGCTTCTGGAGTTGAGGGAATTTCAAAATCAGAGGAGCTCTGTGAATCTGGATTGGTGCTAAGAGTTAGCACCTTTCTTTCCTGAGGTATGTGTTTCCCACTGCTTACAGTGGTTGGTTCTCCAGCACTAAAAACTACATTTACATCTTCAGAGTAAGTGTCCTTTGGGCAAAGAACATTTTGTTCCATCTGAGAGGCAGGAAGATTCTCTTTGACTCTTGGTCTGCAGCTACCTTTGTTCAAGAAAGTAATATCCCCCCCATTTCTCTCTTGGGAAGATAACAAAACAGTGTCAGACTGGCTGCCCCAGCCTTGGCTTCCTTGTTCTGAGATGTGTGTAGACTGAGAGGAATTCTGAGAAGAGATGTGAGTTGACTCGCCATCAGAGTCACTGAAAAGCTTTGGTGACTGAGAACCCCCCGCCTCTGTGGAGGAAGGGAAGTTTTCCAAACCGCAGTCTGTGTCGTCGTCACTTTTTTTAAAGAATACGTCCCACTGTGGAACTTGCACGTCAGTCTTTTGCTGGTGTGGAGGGCTCTGATCTCCTTGACATGAGGCTGGGATTTGTAATTCTTCTTCACTGTCACTGTTGGATTCTTCACAGTCTATAAAGTTTGCCCACAGAGAGGTTTTCACGCTCTTTGCTTTGATGCATCCTGCGCTTTGTCTCAGATTTTCAGGCTGGTTTTGTGATACTACAGTCATTGGAAGTACCTCAGGGTGACAAGTTTGTTGGTTTGGAACTTTGTGCCTTAAAGGTACGGGCAGAAGATCATCAAAGAGGTCATTTTCCTCCTCTTCCTCTAGGGGGACAAAAAAAATGGATTTAGAAGAAACACAGAATGCCAGTTTGTAGCATTTAACTGTTTTTAATTCATGGAATTGCAAATAATTGGGAGTTTACTCTTCTAAGAGCAATTAAAAGGCCCCTTATTCTTGGGATATTCTGAACAATTTACCACTCTTCAGCTTACAATGCAGACAGTGAATAGAGAATATAGACCTGTGTTCCCCAAATTAAGGTCACAATATCTGTATTAGTGGTTTTCAAACCTGATCATTATCTGGAAAACTTTTTTAAAAACACAGCTTTTTATATCTCATTCCAGAACTACTGAATTCCTTAAGGGAGGATCCAATAATTGATTTTTGCTTTATTTGTTTAAAGTTCCACACTTGATTCTAATCATCAGCCAGTTAATGAATCACTCACACTAGAAGAGAGGTTTATAAATACTAGATGCTCAAGTTGGCTGATTTAATATAATGACAACAGTTCATTATTTTCTAAAGTTTTCCCACTATAAACATTTTATTGATACCTACTTTGTGCTTGTTATGAGCTGAATGTGTTCTCCCAAAATTCATAATTTGAAGTTCTATCCCCAATGTGATGGTATTTAAGGTAAGAAGGTAAGTTTAGATGAGCTCTGAGGATGGGACCCACGCGACAGGATTAGTATTCTGGTGAAAAGAGTAAGAGATTTCTCAATGCCCATGTACAAAGGAAAGCTCTGTGAGCACACAGTGAGAAAGCATCTGTCTACAAGCCAGGAAGAGGCATCTCACCAAGAACTGAATCTTGTCAGAACCTTGATCTTGGACAGAACTGAGCAGTAAACATCTATTGTTATAGCAACCAGAGCTGGCTAGTTCACAAGGCTGCCGACCAGAGCTCCAAAAGGTTGGCGACCGCTGTACTAGGGGAAGGCACAGATTGGATCAACTTTAACCGAAATATTAAATAAACACATGTTTGGTCATGAGACCACTTTTTGTTCTAGTGCTGAATCTAGTGTTAACTTATAACTACCTACTTCTTAAAAAGTTAACTATTTTCCCAGTGATAAAATGATATAGCTAAAAGCTAGTTTGCAAAGCCACTAAAAAGGTGGACCACAGAGACCGTCATCCAGTTCCCATTTTATCAGAGATAGGCCCAGGGAAGGTATGTAATAATGCCTACGTCAAGAAACTAGTGAGCCAGTGGGACTCAGTTCGTTGGGCATCATTCCAATCAACAAAAGGTTGCCAGTTGGTTCCCAGTCAAGGCTAATACCCAGGTTGCAGGCTCAATCCCTAGTAGGGGGCATGCAGGAGGCAGCCAATGGTTTCACTCTCCCCCTCTCTCCTTAAAAATCTTTTAAAAATAAAATGAAATAGATAGGCAGAGAGCCAGGTATCAAACCCAATTCCTAAAGTCCTGTGTTCTGATTAAAAACTGTTTAAACAGCCGAAACGGTTTGGCTCAATGGACAGAGCGTCAGCTTGGGGACTGAAAGGCCCCGGGTTCAATTCCGGTCAAGGGCATGTACCTTGGTTGCGGGCATATCCCCAGTAGGGGGTGTGCAAGAGGCAGCTGGTCGATGACTCTCTCTCATCGATGTTTCTAACTCTCTCTTTCCCTTCCTCTCTGTACAAAATCAATAAAATATATATTTTTTTAAAAACTGTTTAAACAAGCAACTATTTATCTTATCCTTTTCTAAAGGACTGAAGGTGACTGAGATGTCTATCTATGGTAATATGGAATCAGTCTACAAGGCATGGATTTATTTTTTAAATTTTAATCTTTATTGTTGAGACTATTGCAGATGTCCCTCTTTCCCCCCTCTATATCTCCCTGTCACCCAGTTCCCACCCCACTCCAGGCCCGTGCCACCCTATTGTCTGTGTCCATAGGTACTGCATACATGCATATAAGATCTTTGTCTAATCTCTTCTCACACATCCCCCCACTCACACACACACACACACACACACACACACACACACACACACCTCTTCCCTCTGAAAATCATCAGTCTGTTCCATTTCCATGCCTACAAAATGTTGCTTTTTAAACATGTTCAATATCCACCCCTTTTGAGTTTGGTGGATATTTATATAAATGAATAAAGAATCACTCTTTCTTCCTTAGTATAAGATGTATCCCTCCCCCCCCCCACACACACACACACATACCTGCATGTCTGATCATTTTTTATTGAATGCCATACATCCTGAACTTAGCCTTATTAAATTCTGTATATTTTGGGATTTCTAAAAATATTCTTAAGCTTTGTTCTGATATGTGGTTAAGGGACTTGTAAAGTCTGTGCCTTTTGTATATTGCTTTTTATCTTTGTAATTTCCCCCACCACTGAGATAAGTCCTCGGTATTCTTACAGTAAAACACCCCGTAAATTATGGTGTTCCATTCTGGCTGTTGGGAATAGGCACTGTTCCTAGCACTGTGTGCATTCTGGGCAGTTTACAGTGATTCTTTCCCAGGCCTCAAGGGATCCACTGCATCACAAGCAAGCACTGATCAGTATGCTGAATACTCAGGGCTCCTCGTAGCTGTTGGGAGCAGCAACTCTGTACTGCTTTCTCCTCTGGGACTCCAGCCACTGTGGCTTTCTCAAACTCCCAGCTATCTCCCCTCAGGTCAGGGGTACTGATTTTGGGCTCTACCTTGGTGTCCCCTTTTGCCTGAAAACTAGTAATCCAGGGCAATCTTAAGGTTTCACCTTTCTCAGGTGTCACTGCCCTTCATTGTCTGATGTCCAGTTTCTTATATGTTATGTTGCTTTTAGTTTTTTCAGATGAGAATTTCAAAGTAGCCCATTACTTTCTTAACTGGAAATAGAAATCTTAAAAAAAAATTTTGTGAACTTAATAATTTGTATCTTTTATGTACCTTCCAAATGATGCTTGATTTTTTGGTGGGCCATTAGTATAAGAGTTTTTTTTAATCATTGTTCACTTTCACTTCAATTTTATTTTTTTTATTTTTTTTCTCTAATCTTCACTGGAAAGTGAAAGTAGCAATGAAAGAAGATAGAAAAATATAAGGAAAATCCATTTCTATAAGCACTACCAATTAGTCTGAGCAAGAAATGTTCGAGAACTAATAGCACAATGGCAACAAATAAGTACTACCTTAATAAAGAAATTAAAAAAAAAAAGAATTAATAGCACAGCCTTTCCTATGGCCTATACCAATGGTTGGCAAACCGAGGCTTGAGAGCCACATGCGGCTCTTTGGCCACTTTTCAAAATAGACTCACCCAGGCCAAAAACCAACTTCTGCGCATGGGCCACAAAGTTTCATTCGCATTGTACGTGTGCACCCACACGTGGTATTTTGTGGAAGAGCCACACTTAAGGGGCCAAAGAGCCACATGTGGCTTGGGAGCCGCAGTTTGCTGACCACTCGCCTATACAAACCTTGGGGCACGTATCCAGAAAGCTGAAAACATTCAATTCAGGCACAGTTCTCTTTGGCACTTGTTTTAAACCATGAAGGAGATGGAACGCCTGGTTTTGAAGGCTGAAGATGGAAAAGCTAAGCATGTCCTTAGACCATGTGACAAGTTTAAGTGACGGTGAGTCCCAGGCCTACCTCTACCCAATGCAACTGACACCAGAGCAGTCTTGTAGGAAAACCACACTTCTGACCCCAGGGTCATCATTCTTACCAGAGTCTAGGTGAGTTGTTCTAGCTCTCTTCAGTTTTCCAAGTGGTTTGTACTTTGGCTCAGTGCTTTGGGAAGATCGGCATAAAGGCTTTAAGCTGAAATGAATATGAATAATTTATTTTTCCTGCTGGGATGTAAGCATCATTTATAGAGATTATAAAAATGTGACCATGGGGGAAATAATTACTTTTAAAAACTGAAGCAGCCCTGGCCAGTGAGGCTCACTTGGTAAGTGTCATTCTATATACCTAAAGATCTCAGGTTCAATTCCTGATCAGGGCACGTACCTATGTTGCAAGTTAGAGCCCCAGGCAGGTGTCTATGGGAGGCAACCAATCAATGTTTCTATCTCTAAAATCAGTAAAAACAAAACAAAAAAAATACCCAATAATTTAAAAATCATTTCAATATAATAAAGTGCTAATACAATCTGGTGAGTATCTAATTGTATGGTTGAGGGAAAGCAAAACATCTTTTGCACTGCAGGAAAGCAGGTTTCTATTCTAAAAAATAATACAGTGACACGTTCTGGTTTTCAGTGCAATATAGCTAGCTGTTTTCCCTTCCGTTTACTTATCTCTTGCAAGAATCTCACACATTTGATCACTTCCTTCTAGAGGCTGAAAGCTAATACTCAGTGAAGATGAAATATAAAAGGGCACAGAAATAAGATTTGAGGGTGCCCTGCCCTTTTTTGAGGGCCTTATGCTGTCTGCTTCTGTATGCCAATTCCCAGGAACCTTTAAGATTACATATAACATACCTACTTAAAGTCATTGTGCTCCCACCCAGACACTCATTCACAGCCACAACCACTTTACGTCCCTGCCCCTGTTCTCATGCTGGAAACTATTCTTTGGACCCATCCCATTCAATAACACAGGTTCTTCCATAAGTAGCAACAACTTACATTTCTATAACCTTATCCACAGTTGTGCCCAATGGGATTACATTTGGATATGCATTCACAGGGCAGATGTAGCTTAAGAAATCTTCAATCTAAAAGAAAGAAAATAAAATGGATCAAGTGTCTCAATTGAAAAATCTGGGTGTGAGAGGCAAATAAATGGAAGCCAGGGGTAAGGGGAAAACGCATGGCTGTGGTTCTCAATGCCTGCAGCATCTGAAGCTCACCTAGGGGTCTCTTGGGAAAAAGGAATACCGAATGCTCAACCTCACCCCAAAGACCCTTTAACACTGTCAGTGGGGCCTGGGATTCTGTATTCTCCAGGTGGTTCTGTTCCACAGTAAGAACTAACAATCACTGATTACTGGGATTCAAGGATTCTGTATTGCTCTGGCTGGGTAGCACAACCAAAGGCTCACAGGTTTGATTTTCCTTCAAGGGGCACATGCGGGAGGCAATCCATCAATGTGTCTCAGATTGATGTTTTTTCTCTCTTCCTCCCTCCTTTTCACTATGTCTAAAAAGTGATGGGAAATATATATATTTGGGTGAAGATTAACAAAACAAAAAATGATTCTGTATTTTTTCATGACCTTGGTGTCCTCATCTAAGGTCATGCATTCATTAACACATCCCCTTCAAATTAGATTAGCTGAGTACTTAACATACATAAGACAACAAAGTCTGAGAATTATACTTCTTGAGTAACATCGGAGGAATGGCAGCGAGAGAGATCCCCTTGAAATGTCAACAATTTAAACATATAACTCAACAAAGGATTCCCTACTCAACATACAGGCACACCTGATAGATCTTCACCTAAAGGTGAACAAGAGGGAACAAACGGAGGTGGGGGTGGTGAAAAGGGCTCAGACTAGCCATGGGCTCAGCCCTGCAGCTGGGAGCTCACAGCAGGACTTAGCCTGGAGAGGGAAAGAGTCCTGTTCTGGCTGGCACTTCCTTTAGCCAGGAAGGCTGGAGATTCGGTGAGCATTCCCACAGAAGTGAGCAAGGACACAGCACTAGGGTACTGCTGCGTTTGTCAGATGGCTGGCATTTCAGAATGAGAAACAAAGCCTCAAAGCCCTGCCGCTCTATAACCTCCCAGAACTCGCCTCCCGTGGTATTGGGATGCAGAACACATTATCTGCAAACACAAAAACTGGTACTATACCAAGCATGTCAAACTCGCAGCCCATGGGCCACATGTGACCCACAATATTTTTTTAAATATATAAATTTTTATTGTTCAGGTTATTACAGGTGCTCCTCTCCCTCCCCCCATAGCTCCTCTCCACCTGATTCCCCAGCCCATGCCCTTACCCCAATAGGTGTAAGATTTTTGTCCAATCTCTTCCCATGCCCCTCAGACCCCCTTTTCCCTGAGAACTGTCAGTCCACTCCCTTTCTATGTCACTGATTCTATTATATTCACCAGTCTATTCTGTTCTTCAGATTTTTTATTCACTTGATTTTTAGATTCACATGTTGGTAGGTATGTATTTGATGTTTTTTTGTTGTCATAGTTTTTACCTTTACCTTTTTCTTTTTCCTCTTCTTAAAGTATACCATTCATCATTTCATGTAATTCTGGTTTGCTGGTGATGAACTCCTTTAGCTTTTTCTTGTCTGTGAAGCTCTTTATCTGATCTTCAATTCTGAATGATAGCTTGGTTGGGTAGAGTAATCTTGGTTGTAGGTTCTTGCTGTCATCACTTTGAATGTTTCTTGCCACTCTCATCTGGCCTGCATACTTTCTGTTGAGAAATCAGTTGACAGTCGTATGGGTACTCCCTTGTAGGTAACTAGCTGTTTTTCTCTTGCTGGTTTTAATATTCTTTGTCTTTTGCTCTTGGCATTTTAATTATGATATGTCTTGGTGTGGTCCTCTTTGGATTCCTCTTGTTTGGGGTTGTGTGTGCTTCCTGGACTTGTAAGAATATTTCTTTCACCAGGAAGTTTTCTGTCATCATTTCTTCAAATAGGCCTTCAATATCCTGCTCTCTCTCTTCTGGCACCCCAAAAATCTGGATGTTGGTATGCTTAAAGCCGTCTGTAAGGCTCCTTACACTATCCTCACACTTTTGGATTCTTCTTTCTGCCTCTCTGGTTGGGTATATTTTGCTTCCTCATATTCCAGATCTTTGGTTTGACTCTTGGGATATGTTGATCTACATTGAGTTTCTGTATATTCTTTATTTCAGACAATATATGCTTAATTTCTGACTAGTACTTTTCCACTTTTTTGGGATTCTCATTAAGGTCCTTGAAGGTCTCTTCAAGTTTCTCAGTGGTTTCTATAAGATTCTTAAGTAACCTTATAAATGTGATTCTGAACTGTGTGTCATCCATTAGTTTACTTTCTCCATCTCTCTCATTCGTGACATGCTTCTGTGTCTCCTCATTTTGGTTGCCTCCCTTTGTTGATGGAGTGGCTTTGTGTGGTAGGTGACCTAAAGGGGCCAGTAGCTCTGCTTCCCCAATCACCCAAGGTGGTTGCTCTTGGTGCACCCCTTTGTGGGCTGAGTACAGTCTTAATGTAGTTAAGGCTTGATTGCTGTTGGTACACTGGGAAGAATTGACCTCCAGGTCAGTTGTCTGTGAGGACCTGCTGTGTCTATAATGGAAGAACTGCTATGCTGGCGACATGCTTATGGGACAGGCCTTGTTTCAGTGGAGCTTTGGTGCTCACTCAGTCTGCCTCACAAATGTGTCACTTATGGATGTGAGGAGTTGAGGTCTGGTGTCTCACACTGACCATTAGATACACTGGCTTCTGGACCTCCAATGGGGTGCAGTTCAGCTACTGTCTGAGGCCACCCTGCAGGAGCTACAGTGAGAACCACAGTCCTCTCTTCCCTGCTTGGAGCTTGGAGGTTTTGGAGCTGTCTGCACCTGGTTTCAAGTTTGCTAGGTTAAACTGCAATAGAGAAGGCCATTCATATGCAAAAGCTGCTGCTTGGAGCATGGGTGTGTTTGTAGATTGTATGGGGCGGGGTGTCCAGGCGTCACTAGGCTAGGGCGGGGCAAACAGCGATGGCTGCCATTCATCTGTCTCTGCCTCTCTGTGTCCCCACGTCTCATTCCCCAACACAGCAAACAATTATTCTTGCACGCAGCTCTGCAAGCAAGCCACCCTCACTTTCCGACCCGATGGCAGACAATCCAGCTTCTCTCCAGAAACTGGATTTCAGAGAGATCGGAAGCTTGTCTCTCTCTTCAGGTTGAAGAAAACAACGCCCTCTGCCAGCCGAGATGCACCGCCAGCCCGTATCAGACACGCGACCCCATAGCTCAGTTTTTCAGAGCTTGTGCCCTGAATGTTTTCTCTTTCAGTCTAGTTGGAGAGCTTCCACTCAGCCAGCTTTCCCGTGGTTCTGGTTGATAGACGTTTTGTCTTTTAGTTGTAGTTTTGAAATTGTTGTGCACAGCAGCAGTTTAGGTGTGTTTACCTAAGCTGCCATCTTGGATCCTCTCCACAATGAATATTTTGTGGCCTACAGGCCACATGTGACCCACAACGAATATTTTTGTGGCCCAGCCAATATAACGGTAAGAAACATTTTAATAAAAAATTTATAACTTAATTTTTATAATATCCTGTTATACATAATTAGTAATGAACTACAATGTTCGCTAATGATTGATTACTATAACTGTGTTGCATTCATTTCCCTTACGCGCCTTACATGAAGGTACACCGTTTGTCTCAGCTAATACTAGCAGTGAATATTTTAGCAGCTGATTGCCATGTGATTAGTCTTGTACTGACTTGTTTGGTGTGCACAACAGGAAATATTTAGCTTTTGGAGAACAAGAAAAATAGGTTAATTTGCGTTATGCTTATTTGTGCAGTTATTCAGTGTCTGGTAAGATAATGTTCAAGAAAAAATATTAATTTTTTTAAATGTTCTATTTTATGTTAAAGATATTTATTTCAGCCTTTTGTATGTCTATCAAAATAAACACGTTTCTATGAAAATTGAAGCTTGCTTTTTTTTTAATTTTTTTTTATTTTTTTGCAGCCCACATAAATAAACCTTGTTTATTTGGCCCATTTTAGCCTTTTGAGTTTGCCATGCTTGTACTACAGAATCAATATTTCTCCTGAGCAAAGGGTGTACTCTGTGACGGGTCCCTGGTCAGGACAAAGGGGGTACCTCATAAAGGTCCAAGGTTGCCATAGCAGGAAGGTAAAACAAGACAACGGGTTCCACCAGCCAACTCCACACCCACACATTCTACCACACTGATGGCAGCCAGAGATGCAGCAGGATTCAATATGGGATTTCACACAACTAAAGAACTTATGATCCAGTGCCATTACCTCTTCACAGTAATCTAGAGATGTACCACTCATACATAGATTCTTAGATAGAAAAGGAACTCCTCAGAACATCATGCTGAGTGAAATAAGCCAATCAATGAAAGAGAAACACCACATGACCTCACTCATTTGTGGATGATAAAGAATATTATAAACTGATGAACCAAGAGACAGATATAGAGACAGTAAAGCAACAGGCAGACTGTCAAATTACACTGGGGAGGGGAGGAAGATCTGGGGGAGATAATAGATCAACTGAAGGACTTGTGTACATGCATATAAGTACAACCAATGGACATAAAACTCTGGGGAGGGAGGGTATGTATGAGAGGGAGGGAGGGGGGGCAAAAAAATCAATAAAATATATTTTTAAAAAAAAGAATAAAACACAGCTATTTCAACTTCAAAAAAAAAAGAAAAGAAAAAAAAAAAAAAGAAAAGGAACTCCTCAAATGCCATGAATACCTAGGTAGCAAGGCAGCTCAGAAAGAAAACTAAAAAATCTCCAGAAAGCATAAACACATGGAAATATGATATAGAAATGAAAGAACTCAAGGTTACAGTTCTGAAAATATGCAGGAAATTTAATGAACTCAGAAAACAAATTAATATACAAAATGTGTACTTTACCAAAAAGATTGAAACCTTCAAGAAGAAACAGGCTTGGTCAGTTGCTCAGTGCTTAGAGAATTGGCCCACGCACTGAAAGGTTGCAGATTCGATTCCTGGTCAAGGGCACATGCCTTGGTCACAGGCTTGATCCCT